GCCGAGATGATTTGGATCTGTGGTCTTTCTCCTCCCATCTTTGGGAATAACAGTGTCTTGAGAAAATGTTTTTGTATCACTTCTGCCTCCAAACTATCCGTCTGTTCAGCGGATATCAGCAGAAAACAGAGGGAAAACTGCCAGACAGCGGGGGACTGCGGAATTCAAGTTAGACAAGACGAAAGTGGTCCCAAGAAACTTGCATCTGAAATACACTTCCAAATTGCAATAGTAATTTTAAGTCGCCTTTTCCTAAACGGCATTCCTAAGCAGAGACACAACCACATTTTCATCCTCAGCACAAACGAGGATCTGCTCCATTTAGAGGAACATCTCTTCTTCCAGCCGCGGAAACGCACGGAACCACGTAGCTGAGGGCTCTGATTCTCTGCCGGGCTCTTGTCACCAGAGGACCAGCCGCCTGGCGGCGTTGCCGTGGAAACGGAGCTCCCTGTGTGGATGTGGCAACTCGCCCGGGCACAGCCTTTGCTGACGGTCTGCGGCAGGGGCTCACAGGACCGACGCCAAGATGGTTAGTGGCTCTGAATATTAAGGGATGGGGGGCTTCGGATAGGTTTTTCCCCGGGCTTAGAGTTCCCAGCACACTACTGGATAGAACCTAAGTGTGTCTGCAGAGGGCGATCCCCTTATTCCTGCAGTGTTTCCACCGGGGCTAGCGAGGGATGCAGAGAAAAATGCCTCGATGCTCCCTTCCCTCCTGCTTCTCCATTTCCCGACACCAGATCCGCTTGTGGACTGGTAACAAGAGCCAGGGAAGGATGAGATGGTAGAAGCTGCGGGAATTGCTCGTGTCTTGTGGACAAGTAGTTGGAAGTAGCTATTTGGTTCTCCTTCAGAGGCGATGGCCCTTTTGATAAAATGCGTCTTTAAAAAGTATCTGAACAGACTTACTAGTATTCGTTGATAAGGAATTGGCTTGTGGATCACAGAGCTGTTACTCTCGATTAAAAAAAAAAGACTTTTGAGTTGAACCGTCTTTGCCGTTTGTTTTACAGATGCTTTCAAGAGCCAAACCCGCCGTGGGCGGCGAGTCACCGCACACCGACAAAAGAAAGAAGAAAGGTAGGAAAATTCCAAAACTAGAGGATCTGCTTTCGCAAAGAGATTTCACCAGCGCCATTACCCTATTGGAGGTAATGTCCAAAGAAGGGTTCCTTTTAAGTCTGGTGAATGTCGGGGTGAATGCTGGTTACTATGCTATTGGTATAGGTGGGTACATTCTGGGGAATCCGTGTAAATATAGCCAGACACATATTCCAGATTGCAAGTTAACTATAAACCTGATAAAATATTTTAAAAATTTGGACTGGAGAGACGGCTCGACAGTTAAGAGCACTGGCTCAGCCGGACGGTGTACATGCCTTTAATCCCAGCACTTGGGAAGCAGAGGCAGGCGGATCTCAGTGAGTTCGAGGCCAGCCTGGTCTACAAAGCGAGTTCCAGGATGACCAGAGCTGTTACACAGAGAAACCCTGTCCTGAAAAAAACAAAAAACAAACAACAACAACAAAAAAACAAACCCAAACAAAAGCTGTTCTTCCCGATGATCTCGATTCCCAACACCTATATGTCTGCTCACAATCGTTAGTAACTCCAGTGCCAGGGGGTCCAAGGTCTTCTGACCTCCTTCAACACCAGGAACACACATGGTGCATAGAAATAAATGAAGATGCCAGATGGTGGTAGTGCATGCCTTATTATTATTATTATTATTATTATTATTATTATTATTATTATTATAGTGCATGCCTTTAATCCCAGCACTCAGGTGGATCTCTGTGAGTTTAAGACCAGCCTGGTCTGCAGAGTGAGTTCCAGGATAGGCTCCAAAGCTACACAGAGAAACCCTGTCTCAAAAAACAAAACAAAACAAAAAGATAGATGAAGACAAAACACTCATACACTTAAAACTAGTTTTTTTTCTAGTCCCACAGATGGTGGATCTAACCTAAAAATACAGCATTACACATGATAAATGTCAGTTCACACATTGTCATAATTCCTGAGTGATTTATAACTTCTTTCTATTTATAGTATTTTGCTTGAAAAATTAAGTGATTGTACCATGTTTATTTTTAAAATGTTGTAAACCCATAGAGCTTTTCACCTCTGCGTGTCAGGGTCATCTCTTTCTAGAACCAATGCTGGGGGTCAAACTCAGGGCCTCAAGGAAGCAATTATGCCGCAGATCTACACCCCAGCTCAGCCGCAGCGTGTAGAGCTCACCTCTTACTATTGGAGTGCCAGGATAGACGCTCAGATGTTTGTATTCCCAGGCTGGTGGTTTACCTATGTGAATTCCCTAGGTCTGCTGTGGCGTTCGGGAGGGCGGGTGCATTTCGGGTGGGTGGTGTCAGGAGTGCTTCCAGCAGGAGCTGCCCTGGGAGACTGAGCTTGGGGACGCTTGCTTGAAAAGCGGATGGGAGGGGTTGTGAAGGGTGCCCCAGAGAATAGAGCCCCTACAGCACGGTCTGGTTGTGCTGTGCTGCAGCCTGTTACAGTATTGTGTTTTCCACTCGCCCTTTAATGCAAATCTATAGTTACACATCTCTGAAACTGGCGATAATAGTTGCTTTGATTAGCTTTATGTATGTTGCTCAGTATTCCATGCCCCCCCAAATCCTGAGTGTCTCGCTAGTGCTTTGATATTCAGTCCAATTGTTTGGCTTTGCTGTGTCAACTCATCTCTTGCAGTAGGAGAGTTGACTTCTAGCAGTGAAAATCAGAGGACTGAATATCATATACATTTCTATTGTTTTTTAAGACAGGCTGGTCTCAAACTCAGAAATCCACCTGCCTCTGCCTCCCAAATACTGGAATTAAAGGTGTGCATCACCTACTTGACTACGTGTCTGTGTTTTGAAAAGGGTTCATAAAATGACGTGTGGAGTTGTGTCTGCATGTGGGTATGTGGGCCTGGATGCAGGTGCCATAAGAACTGGACCCCCTGCAGCTAGGGTGACAGGAAGTCGTGTGCTGCCTTATGAGGGTTTCGGGAACTGCACTCGGGTCCTCTAGAAGAGCAGCAGCAAAAGCACATGTACACATAATCAAAAATAAAATACCAGCCGGGTGTTGGTTGCGCACGTCTTTAATCCTAGCACTCGGGAGGCAGAGGCAGGTGAATCTCTGTGAGTTCGAGGCCAGCCTGGTCTACAGAGCGAGTTCCAGGACAGCCTCCAAAACAATACAGAGAAACCCTGTCTCGAAAAACCAAAATAAAATAAAATACCTGGGCTGATGAAAACAAAGCAAAATGAAAACAATACAAAACAAAAAAGCTTAGGGAGAAAGGGTTTTTTCAGCTCATAATTCCAAGTGACTGTCCATACTGAGGGAAGGGAGCGCAGAAATCTGAAGTCAGACCTGCTTACAATTCTATACAGTATTACCTCTGTCTAAGGAATTTGCTTTTCAACCAAAGAGGCACTGTATGTTGGTTTATTTGTTTGAGACAAGGTCTCTATGTAGACCAGGCTGGCCTTAAACAGTAGAGCAGGCTGGGTGCAGAACATGATGCCACCACAGCAGACTGGTCTTGAATTCACAGAGTTCCACCTGCTTCTGCCTCCTGAGTGCTGGGATTAAGGTTGTCACCCAGCTAAGAATGTACCGCTATGCCCAGCTCCCTAAATTGTTTTGCTCAGGTATTTATCAGAACAGTGGAAATGAAACTAGAATGAGTGGTAATTGAGAATCCTTCTGAATCCTTTCCTCGCAAGTAAAACTTATCTTTTGTCAGGTGAGGAATTGCTAAGTTTTTGTAGTGGACACAAACTAGACTATCTTCTGTACACCTTTAACTCAGCTAGTCTGTAAGCTAGCCTCATGGGATAATAGAATGAATGTCTTCAGAGGAGGGTAATGAACTATTAATATGCATGTGTGCTAACGGGATAAAAGTTAAGTGTAATATTAAATGCAGCAAAACCCAGTGGTGGGATCCTAGACTTTGGAGGCAGACGTGAGTTTAATCCCTATTCCCACAGCGACAGGGACTGACCGTGTGATCTCAGAACCATTGCGTGGCCCCTACCCTTCCATCATTTAGCTTTAAATATTTTTTGTTTTTGAGACAGGGTCTCTCTGTGTAGCCCTGGCTGTCATGGAACTATCTCTGTAGATCAGGCTGGTCTCGAACTCACAGAGATCCTCCTGCCTCTGCCTCCCAAGTGCTGGGATTAAAGGTGTGCGCCACCACCACCACATGACTGGCTTCAAATGTTTTACATAATTCTTGCGCATCATCCAGAGTTACTAAATAACTCACATACTTTGTGGAATAAGGTGCTAGCAAACACAGAAAAACAAATCCAGCATGTGACATTAGGTGACTGCTGACTCCTGTCAGTGGAGGCTTCATTGAACTGCACATTGTTTGACTTCTATTATTCAGAAGTTTATCAGTCACTCAGCATAGCTTAAAAAAATAAAACAAATAACAGAGCTGGAGAGATGGCTTAGTGATTAGCGGTTAAGATCATGGGCTGCTCTTCCAGAGGAGTGGGTTCAAATCCTAGCATCTACAAGACAGCTAATGACAGCTTTCTGTAACTCCAAGATCTGGCACTCTCACACAGACATACATGCAGACAAAACACCAATGCACTTAAAAGTAAATAAATGATTAAAAATATTTACTATTAAAATCTTTTTTCATGTTTTTTTTCATGACCTTTAATGAGAAGTTCAAGCGCCATGTTGGGGAGCAAGAAGAGGATACTAATTTGTGGATTGGATACTGTGCTTTTCACCTGGGTGACTACAAGAGAGCTTTGGAGGTTAGTGAAAAAGGAATCACATGGTGTTTAAAATGACGCTATATGGCACGCACTCATGGTAACAGCAGAAGGAAATAATGCAGATGAAAACAAAGTACAAAGAAAGAAATTGCTCTGTCTTCCCCAATCCTACGTCTTTCAATGAAGGCCCCACTGACCCTTCTTAATGTGCTGATTCAGAGAGCGGTGGGGAATGGTGACAGCACACCTGTAATATTGTGGGGATCTCTCTGGAGTAAGCACTGTGGAAGACAGGAGATGCCACTGGTGGGCTGAAGCCAGAAAGCTTCTGGAAGACTTTCATCGCAGGTCCAGTTTGTGTCTTCATTTCATACTTGCTGTAAGGAGTAAGATTTTATAGACACTGCAGCGACGGTCAGTGATGGGCTGCAGCCCATGATCCCAGCTGTGCGGGTGACGTCATGAGTGGCAGATAGCAGCACTAGCCATGCTTTAAGTAAATATTGGAATGGTCTTTTCTTCCTCATTCTACTTGAATATGAAGTGGATGGGGAGATACATGAAGGGGGGCGTGTTTACAGAGGTATGCAGTGGGAAGTCAGGACGTAGGCTAGAGGAAGAGGTGGGGGAGCCAATGGAAATGCTTTCGGGAAATCTGCTAGCTTGTAAGTTAGTTAAATAATGAGACAAATATTGTGCTCAGTTTCACACTTTGCTGTATAACATATAAGCTAAAATACTTGTATAAAACCCATAAAACAAACAAACAAACAAAACCCCATACAACAAAGAGCATGTGTAATAGCCTTCCAATATGGTTGAATATTTAATATATTTGTTAGGATTATTTTTGTATAATGGAAGTTATTATTATGAAATGTTTAAATAGAACCCAAAAAGTAACTATGAGAATGGGGAGAATTTTCATGTGTGGACTGGCATGTGCGTCTGGATCTTACTTGCCCTTCAGTTCTATGTAACTAGAGTGTCTGTAGCACGTTAGTATGTAATTAGAGTGTCTGTAGCACGTTAGTATGTGAACTAGAGCGTCTGTAGCACGTTAGTATGTAACTAGAGCGTCTGTAGCACGTTAGTATTAGCGCAAGGCTGAGCCCAGGGCCCCTGCATGTCCGGTGAGCATTCTGTCCCTGAGCTATACCTCTGCATTTCATATTTCTTCTAAATGTTTTTAGGGTTACTTCCTTTACTTTATGGATAGGAGTGCTTTGCCTGCATGCCTGTATGTGAACCAGGTACAAACCTGGAAGCTGCAGGGTCCAGAAGAGGACATCGGGTCTCCTGGACCTGGAGTTACAGATGATTGTAAGCCATCCCGTGGGTGCTGGGATTCGAACCTGTGTCCTCTGCAAGAACAGTCAGTGCTCTTAGAGCCATCTCTTCAGAAGCCCCATCTCTCTGCCTTTTTTAAGTTAGCAAGAAATATTTTAGTTGTTTTAATTTCTGAAGGTTTCGAAAACATATTAAAAATGAGGGGGAAACAAAGTGTAAATTCTGTGTACAAGAACCCTGTCTGGGTATAATTACATGTGAGCCTAACCGATTCTGGCAGAGAATGGCGGAGGAGATGCAGGATTCTCAAAGTGTAGCCTGCTCTATCAGTGAGCGTTCATCTTCCACGGTAGACAATCGACAATTGCTTACTGTCAGTCGAGGCCCTCAATTATTGTCTGTTTCAGGAATATGAAAACGCAACAAAGGAGGAAAACTGCAACCCAGACGTGTGGGTAAACTTGGCCTGCACCTACTTTTTTCTTGGGATGTATAAACAAGCAGAAGCTGCTGGGTTGAAAGGTAAAACAGGCTTTTTATATATCATTTTTGCTGTAATGTCTCTGTCCACTGTATAACTCCTATTCTTTTATAATCAGTTTTTGCTTTTGTACCTGTTTTTAATCTTTGCTTCTAAAGTGTGTGTCTTATAATATATATCTTTTCTTTCTTTCTTTCTTTCTTTCTTTCTTTCTTTCTTTCTTTCTTTCTTTCTTTTTGGTTTTTCACGACAGGGTGTCTCTGTGTAGTTTTGGAGCCTGTCCTGGAACTCACTCTGTAGATCTCTGAGTTCAAGTCCAGCTTGGTCTACATAATAAGTTCCAGGATCGCCAGGGCTACACCCCCATCAAAATAGATTGTTAGGGAAAATGAATTATGGGTAGAATTATATTCCTATTTATAAGACTTACCCCATTTAAGAAAGAAACTGGGGAACTTGAAACCATTCTTATTTGGTACCACATTTTTTCATATATGCTAGTGTATTTTTCCATATGTGATCACCATGTCCTTTAGAGTACTGTCTGTTTCTAAGAGTTTGTATTGAGAAGACTGTTAGGCACAGAAAGGTCTCACAGCAGCCAGCTTCGTTTCCATACATACATACATACATACACACATACACATACATATACATACATACACACATACATACATACACACATACATACATACACACATATATAATACACACATGCATACATACACACATACATACACACATATACATACATACATACATACACACATATATAATACACACATACATACACACACATATACATAATACATACATACACACACACATACACACATCTTTTTCGTACACTGAAGTATGATTTGGGTCTGTGAAAGGGATACAGAATTGGTTGTCCGGAACAAACACTGGAACTTGAGAGGTGTTAGCCTTCTTTTCTTGGGTGCCTGTTTAAGGGTGGCACTTGACTGTGGAAGACGATCCCTGGGAAATAGTGGACTGGTGTTTAGGAAAACATGACGCTGTGATTCTGGGATTAGCAGTGTGGGAGTCTAACTCTGGAAAAGGAGGCTGTGGGAGGGATTGAGAAAGAGCACTGAAGTGACTGAAGTCTGCAGGTGGGCTGCGAGGTGACATGCAGTTCCGCGTGTGAGCAGCACAGAGGCGGGCTGCACCGTGCGTGGGGAGCGTGGGCTGCGCGTGTGTGGGAGCGTTGGCTGCACCGTGTGTGTGTGTGGAGCGTTGTGCTGTGGGACGGACACCATGGTAGTGTCCAGTAGAAGTGTGGAGAGCAGAGCGTTAGAACAACCCCGTCTGCCTCCTGTCGCCGCTGCTCCTGCGGGTGGGGACAGACTTTATTCTAGCAAACACACACATCCAGGTGGATAAGGGTTTGGGGCGACCCACCAGAGTCTCATCTTACTCTGGCAAGGTACCAGCTTTCATAGACTATTGATTTATTTTTTTATTTTATGTGAGTGCTTTGCCTGCATGTGCTCTTGGAGGCCAGAAGAGGGCACCAGATCTCCTGGATCAGGAGTCATGGACAGGTTGTGAGCTTGTGAGTGCTTGGAACTGAACCCGGGTCCTCTGCAAGAGCAGCAAGTGCTCTTAACCTCTGAGCCAGCTCTCCAGACCAACTGTTGAATTCTTTACCAAGAACATGGTTCTTTTTCTTTCAGCTCCAAAGAGCCGGCTGCAGAACCGCCTGCTGTTCCATCTGGCTCACAAGGTACTCATGTTCTCACCCCGCATGGCTTGCTTTAGAATCCGTTTCCTCTTCTTCCTCTTGCCAGCAATGAGGAAAGCATTTCTCTAGACTTTTCTGTTCATGTTACTAAATTGTTTTACAGAAAGTTAGTCAAGTCACAAACAAGCAGCATATAAAAGTATACTTAGTGCATTTAAAACTTTTACAATGTCATTATTATTCACCGTTAGTAATATGGCACGAGGTGTGACCTTTAGCAGGTCCTGCAGTGGGAGAGGGCCGTGAACAGACGTAGACCTACAGACAAAACTTGTGTGGGAATTTATTTGTGGATAGACAAAAGAGACAAGAGAGAAAGAGACAGAGAGAGACAGAGAGAGAGAGCTGCCTCTCAGAGAAGAGAGAGAGAGCCAGTAGGTGGAGTTTTACCTGATAGAGACCTCTGTACCTGCATATAGAACTTGTCATGCGCAGAGGCACTGTGCCAAGTTCCCAAGGGGCGCGGCCAGGTCTGCCTGGATTATTACAATTACTTTACAGTGTTAAGAATTAAACCCAGGGCCGGGCAGTGGTGGCGCATGCCTTTAATCCCAGCACTTGGAGGATCTCTTCAAGGGCAGGCTGATCTAGAGAGTGAGTTCCAGGACAGCCAAGGTTACACAGAGAAACCCTGTCTCAAAAAAAAAAAACAAAAAACAAACAAAAAACAAAAAAAAGCGAAAACAAAAACAAAAGACCAACACTGATAGTTACATGTTGATACTATGGCAAAACAAAGCACAATTTAGAAAAAAATCCAATGATGGAAGAAATTAAGAGGAAAATGATGTGAAGTTACAATCATTAATGTACATTATCCAAACAAGGGAGCGAACCAAAATATAAGTAAGGACACAACAGAACCTTTTTTTTCTTAAATTTATTAGTCATTTTTAGTTAGGGTATATACTTGTGGAGTGACCCACTTCTCTGTTAATAAAATGAGCTTAAACGTAAGTCTAGGATATAGGTATTAAAACAGCCTGCCTATAATTTCAAAGCATTAGTGTAGGCTTATATATTTGGGTGCCTAGTCATCAGGGAGTGGCGCTATGTGAAAGGGATTAGGAGGTATTGGAATTCATGGGGCCTTATGGAAGGAAGTGTGTCACCGGGAGTGGGCTTTGAGGTTTCAGTATTGCCAGGCACAATATTAGGATGTAGCTTTTAGCTAATTGTCCATTACTATGTCTGCCTACACACTGCCATGCTTCTTATCATGATGATAATGAATTAAACCTCTGAAACTATAAGCTAGCCTCCAATTAAATGCTTTCTTTTATAAGAGCTGACTGGTCATGGTGTCTTTTGCCAGCAATGGAACAGTAACTAAAACAAGTTGTT